AGGGTCTAGATGTGCGGGCATCAGTAGTTGTGGTGCATGGGTTTAGTTGCTCCAAGCCATGTGGGGTCTTCCCAGACCAGGAATCAAACCCATGTCCCCTGCATTGGCAGGTGGATTCTTAACCACTCAACCACAAGGGAAATCCCAATACCACACTGTTTTGATTACTGTAACTTTGTTGTATTATCTGAAGTCTGGGAGGGTTATGCCTCCTACTTTGTTCTTTTTCTTCAGGATTCCATTGGAAATTTTGGGTCTTTTATGGTTCCATATAAGTTTTAGGATTATTTGTTCTAGTTCTGTGAAAAATGTCATGGGTAATTTGACAAAGATCACATCAAATCTGTAGATTGCTTTGGGTCAGTTCAGTCACTCAGTCATGTCCGACTCTTTGCGACCCCATGGACTGCAGCATGCCAGGTCTCCCTGTCCATCACCAACTCCTGGAGCTTACTCAAACTCATGTCCATCACATTGGTGATGCCATCCAACCATCTCATCCTCTGTTGTCCCCTTTTCCTCCTGCCTTCGATCTTTCCCAGCATCAGGGTCTTTTCCAATGAGTTGGTTCTTTGCATCAGGTGGCCAAAGTATTGAAGCTTCAGCTTCAGCATCAGTCCTTCCAATGAATATTCAGGACCAATTTCCTTTAGGATTGACTGGTTGCATCTCCTTGCAGTCCAAGGGACTCTCAAGAGTCTTCTCCAACACCAGTTCAAAAGCATCAGTTCTTTGACACTCAACTTTCTTTATAGTCCAACTCTCACATTCATACATGACTACTGGAAAAACCACAGCTTTGACTAGATGGACCTCTGTTGCTTTGGGTAGTATGACCATTTTAAGAATATTAATTCTTCCAATCTTGGAGCCCTTTTCTACTTGCTAGATGAGATGCTGAGTGATTCACGAATCATTCAATAAAGCCAATTAGATCTTGGAAATTTACCCAGTTGAATTTTTGCTATTTAACACTATCTATGGCCTAAAATTGGAGAAGGCAATGGCACCCCACTCCAGTACTCTTGCCTGGAAAATCCCATGGATGGAGGAGGCTGGTAGGCTGCGGTCCATGGGGTCGCTAAGAGTCAGACACAACTGAGGGACTTCACTTTCACTTTTCACTTTCACACACTGGAGAAAGAAATGGCAACCCACTCCAGTGTTCTTGCCTGGAGAATCCGAGGGATGGGGAGCCTGGTGGGCTGCCATCTGTGGGATCACACAGAGTCGGACACTACTGAAGTGACTTAGCAGCAGCAGCATGGCCTAAAATGGGCTTCCCAGTTGGTACCAGTGGTAAAGAGCCCACCTGCCAATGCAGGTAGACATGAGAGACACAGGTTTGATCCCTGGGTCAGGAAGATCCCCTGGAGGAGGGCATGGCAACCCATTCCAGTATTCTTGCCTGGAGAATCCCATGAACAGAGGAGCCTGGAAGACTATGGCCCATACGATCACAAAGAGTAGGCTACAACTGAAGCAACTTAGCATGCACACACACACATGGCCTAAAACACCCAGAACTCCCACTTCCAGGGCACATTGTAAGTTTTACTTCCCACTCCTTTTAAGTTAGGCCAAGTTACTCATTTTGGCAAATAAAAGGTAAATGAAGTGCAAATCTTAGGACCCCCATATGCATTTACCACATCCCCTATACCTGCCTATTCTCAGGCTCCAGTGAGCACCAGAATCATGTGGAGGGCTTGTTTAGCAGGTCCTGGTGACACCCCCAGAATTTCTGACTCAGTACGTCTGGAATGCTGGGGCCTGAGAACATGCATTTCTAACAAGTTCCAGGTGATATTTATGCTGCTTGTCTGACAAAGCTACTTTAGGAACAAGGGTTATAGAAGAATCCTCTTTGGGCCAGTCTCTGGGTGATATCTCCCTACTGAGCTATGTTTAAGATGAAGGCCAGGTGAGAAGCGAATATTTTTTCTTTTCTCAGTGCACTGACATTTTCATGCACAAAATTCTTAGATCCCATAAGAACTCAAGAAAACAACACTGTTTTGATTAAAAAGTGGCTTGTTCAGCTTTGGCTAGGTTCCAGCATACAAATCCTCAGGCAATGAAATCCTCTTTGTGCAGAACTGCCCAGAGGTCCTTGGGCATGTCCTAAGGAACATCCCCCTTGGTCCCCTTCTGGTAATAGGATAGCTACTTCCAAGAATTCAAGAATTTCCTGGGATGGCAACCTCTCTCCTCTGTCTTCCATGGGCTCTGCCTATGTCTTGAATTCACCCTGTGGATAGCAAGAAAACAGGCCCAAAATGTAGTCACTTATGCTAAGCCCCATGGACTTAATGCTTAGTGTAATTATAGTTTCAGCCTCTCCCAGGAATGGAATTTTAAACCAGTCAACCAGGAATTATCTGGTCATCAATACTGAAATAATCTGCATGGTGGACTTCTGCAGCCCCCTAAAGGAAGGTGATCTTGCTACAATGAGTCCATTTTTGCCAGTATGTCTTCCCTTTTCCTGCTCCCTTCCGCCTATAAATGTCTTTCATTTGTACAGCTCCTTGGAGCTCTTTTCCATTCACTAGATGGAACACTACCTGATTCATGAATTATTGAATAAAGCCAGTAAGATATTTAAAAATTTATTCAGTTGAATGTTCTTCACAACTCACAGGATCTGCTTTTCCATTACTGGATATCAAACACGGCTGGAGCCAATGGAGGGCAGGGCATGTCTGAGACAAGATTTATCAGTGATTTCCCTGACAACAGAGCCATAAATCTGGCCAGCAGACGGTCGCAGAATGTACAGAGCTCCAGGAATGGTCCCACCCCTATAAAACTTAGGCCAAGTCAAGATAAGGGAGGGCTATAAATCTGACTTGGCTCAATTAGTGTCCAGGCACCTCTGAGTACCATCTCTGCTACCAGCTCTGTCACCTGGGGGTGTTGCCCTCTTCTTATCTCTGAGGTCCCTCCCTCCAGCTGAGTGCACACACGTATCTTTGTCTTGCTTCCTCTCTTCTATTCCACTTCTTTCACTTTCTCCAGTTCTTGTGGTTTCTCTAGTTGCAGTGTTTCCTCTTACCTCTCTCCATGTATGTGTTCCAATCAGTTTGCTACCTTTCAGATTTTGCCTTTTCACCTGTCATAGTCTCTCTGCATGTATCTTTAAAATATATATATATATTTTAATCAATTCAGAAAAAAATAAATAGTATACTGAAGATGACAAGTTAAATACCTGACTGCAATTTTCTTTAACCTTGAGTTTGGTTTTTGTTGGTGCTGTGAACACATAGCTTTCCTCTCTAAGGGTGACCATCCTGAGGCCTCATGCCTTTCTTGACAGGTCTCTTCCAACTGGGTAGCCACAGTCCCTATGCTAAGTGCAACTGTTTGAGAGAGAAGCAGTGGCTTGTAATTAGAAGTCTTGGAAATCCTGTCCAACATGAAAGCAGGGGTTGAGTAAGGATCAGCTAGAAGAAGGACAAACGGGAGGGGAGCAGGAGGGCACACTCCCACCCAGGGGTTTGGTCTTCCCAGGTGGTGCTAGTGGTAAAGAACCCACCTGCCAATGCAGGAGATGCTGAAGACAAGGGTTTGATCCCTGTGTCAGGAAGATCCCCTGGAGGAGGGCATGATAATCCACTCCAGTACCCTTGCCTGAAGAATCCCATGGACAGAGAAGCCTGGTGGGCTATGGTCCATAGCATTGAAAAGAGTTGAACACAACTGAAGTGACTCAGCACGCACACACACACCCAGGGGTAAAGCGGCAGGTGGGCTTCCGGCTTCTCTCTCCAAGAAGAGGGGGAGGCTGAAACCACAGCAGCAACACTAAGGTTAGAAGGAGGGAGAGTGATGTTAGGTGAGGGCCTCTCATCTTCCCCCTAAATAGCAGCAAGTCCGAAAAGCCAGGAAGCCTTTCATGCCAGGAGCTTCCACAATCACTCCTCCCACAGCCCCACAACACTTGTAAGAATTCCTGCATCACCTCTGGAGAAGGCAAGAATGAAATTCGCTCCTGTTGGATATGGAGAGGACCCTGCCCTTCTAATGTTGTCATGGAAATCATAAGGAGAGAAGAAAAGGGACAGGGTAGCACAGAAAGCATGTGAGATGAAGCAGCAGCTGAGGAAAAAAGAGTTTGCCTTGTCTTGCCAAACTCCACAGCTCTGACCTTTATCCCATCCTAGGTCACAAAGCTCCTCTCTCCTAAATGGGGGAAAAAATTCATTTTTCCACCCTCTCTTCTGAACTATGCTGATGAATAAGCTGATATGTCCCTGTTGTGTTGCAACCATCACCTGCCTCACATGGGGAAGGAGAAACCACTGCCCACCATACCAAGTTCCTTGACCACAATGGACAGTCATCACCTCATACCCAAAACAGAAATGTCCAGCATCTTTCCACTAACTCTGGGTTAGGCCTTAATCAACCCTAGTCTTGGAGTTCTCATGTTCTGACCCCAACACATTCACTGTATCACATCCTCCACTGAAACATTTCTGACAGGCCCAGTCTCCTTCACTGGCCATATAACTTCAGTGTTTTTGATAACCTCAGAGATTATCTGCCCAGTTCAGACCCACTTCCTGCAGACTGGAACACCAAATCCCAGAGAAGCTAAGTTGCTCATGCAATGTGCACACAGCCCCTTCTGGCAAAGGCAAGTCAATGACAGCCCCCTGTGGACAGTGGGATCAGTGCCTTTCAGTCTTGGGTCACATCTTCCCCTCTTTCACACTCAAGTCTCCTTTTTTTTTTTTTTTTTTTTTTGCCATGTGGCTTTCAGGATCTTAGTTCTCTGACTGGGAATGAAACCCATGCCCCCTGCAGTGGAATCATGGAGTTCCAGCCACTGGACTGCAAGGAATTCCCTCAAGTATCCCACTTTAGACCATACATGACATAGAATCACTGTATTGAGTAACATATAGTCACAATGTCTATTGTATTATGTTATGTACTGAGTAAGATGGAGTCAGGAAAGACCCCAGGGGTGACATTGGACCAGTGCTGCATTAAGTCAGAAGACCCTTGTGGAACTTGGGTGGTGGGATTAATTCAGACTTGGCTGGAAAGCTGGGAAACCTGAAAGGCCTTTGGTCAAAATTCCACATGAGCTGGGCCTCAAGCCACAGGCAGAAATCTAAGTTAAGCAGGGCGGAAATGTATACAAAGAGTAGCATGAGTATAAGCAAGCCTGTGGGGCAAATGTTCGGTGGAGAGTACCATGAGCCATGCCCTGAGAACACCAACATGGGGGTGACACAGGCCCAGGCTAGAAAAGCTCAGGCCAGATTTCAGAAGAGTGAAGCATAGGGACAGGAAGACTGGAAGGCGGGGGCACGGGGGTGCGGTGGGTCTTCCTGCTACCACCTTCAGCCAAAGGCCAGAGGCTGGTTCAGAACTTGAGTATCCTCAGCTCGACTAACCTCCCAGAGCCTTCTTGACTGCATCCCTCTTTAATGACCTATTTTTTTACTGCCCTGCATCATCTATTAGCTAAGTGCACCCCTGTATTCCTTACCTGGATGTCTGACCCATGGTATATTTTCTGTGTTCCTAACAAGCCCTACCAGTGTTTGGCAACCTGGAAGATCCTGGTAAATATTTCTTGTGCTAAGTTGCTTTAGTCGTGTCCAACTCTTTGTGATCATGGACTGTAGCCCACCAGGCTCTTCTGTCCATGGGATTCTCCCGGCAAGAATACTGGAGTGGGTTACCATGCTCTTCTCCAGGGGATCTTGCCAACCCAGGAACTGAACTTCCATTTCTTACATCTCCTGCTTTGGCAAGTGGGTTATTTACCACCAATGCCACCTGGGAAGCCCAAATATTTCTTAATAAACCACATGGACTTTCGCCAACCAGTGAAATGGTCCCCTTGTTTCCTTAGTTTAGGCTATGACATAGTGTGGTGGGAAAAGTCAATGGGATTTCCCAAGAGGGTAATAAAGAAAAAGGGTGAGGGAGGGAAAGGGGCAGGACACTAGAAAGGAAAATAAAAGAAGTAAGCTCTAAGAAGAAACACTAGTATTTCAACAGGCATAGAACCTGTGGTCTCAAACGACATGCCCCACAGCAGACTTGGCCCAGCTTTCACCCAGTTGCTGATTCCAAGACAAGCTGGAAGGCAAGAGGCCCATATGGGGACAGCCAAGGTTCAACTCGTGGGTATGAACCCCAACCCACACCCCACTGCTCCCAGTCCCTGCTGCCCAGTGCCCAGGAGGCGAACGTCGTAATGCTGCAGGACTAACACAATAATGCTGACAGAGCTGGAGACCCAAGAGCTCACTTCGCTGGCTTCCTGGTGGTTGCTGCCCCCTACTGACAGAGCAGGACCATAACAGCCCAAGAAGCCCATCTCCCTGCCACATGCAAGGCAGAGTAAGGAAAACTACAAAAATCATATCCAAATAGGGAAATCCAACCTTCAGTGGAATCTTTATAAAGGGCCTCCTGGTTTGGCACAAGATGGGAAGAGGGCTCCCTTCGTGAATTTCATTGCATTATGAAGCTTCAGAGAACTGCTAACATGGATCACTGACCTGGCATTGTGCTGAACACATCTAGATTTTCTCATCATACAGGTCATAAAATTGAAGCATAAATTTGAAAACCACCCCCTGGAGATGTGGAGTTTCTAGGACCATAGATACAGATCCTTATCTCCTAACTGCAGTATTAACAAAGTATAGATTTTCCTAGACCTACAATGGAGGGTACATCCTGACAAACGCATCATAAGTAGAAAATATCCGAAGTGAAAAATGCACTTAATACACTTAACTGATTGAACATCATAGCTTAGCCTAAACTACCTTAAATGTGCTCAGAACACTTACATTAGCCTACAATTGGGCAAAAACATCTAACACAAGACTATTTTATAATAAAATGTTAAATGCCTCATGTGGTTTATTGAATACTGTTGTTGTTTAGTCATTAAGTCATGTCCAACTCTTTCCAACCCCATGGACTGTAGTCTGCCACTCTTCTATCCATGGATTACCCAGGCAAGGATATTGGAGTGGGTTACCATTTCCTTATCCAGGGGATATTCCCGACCTAGGGACTGAACCCACATCTCCTGCATTGCATGCGGATTCTTACCCCTGAGCCACCAGGGAAGCCCCTATTGAATACTGTACTGAAAGTGGAAAACAGAATGCCTGTATGAGTATAGAATGGTTCTATGTGTATCAGTTGTCTACCCTCATGATCATGCAGCTGACTGGGAACTACAGCTTGTGGTCGCTGTCCAGCACCACACCACTAACCCCAGGGAAAAAAATCAACAAAATTCAAAACTTTAAGTACAGTTTCTACTGAATGTGTATAGCTTTCTCATCATTGTAGTCAAAAAATCAAATAAAATTATTGTAGGTCAGGGACCACCTATAACCTGCTATAGATTTGGATCACAGCAGGGAGACACAAAAGCACATTTATTAGGTGATGGGTGCCAGGGAGACTGAGGCCCCATTGCTCACTTGAGGAGGCCATAACTCACAAGTCATTATCACTATGACCATGATGTAACATGGTACAAAAATGGAGAAGGCTCCAGATCCCCATAACTTCTCCATCTCTTGCTTAATTTCCTTTGACCATCCTGACAGTTCCAAGCTTTTTGTCTTCCCAATAAAGCTTCCTAAGAGCTGACTACACTATTCCCTCTACTTTCTCACCTCTAGTTCCTTTTGGCACCTTCACTCAAAGGCTGAAGAGTTTGGACTCGAGAGCAAAGCTGCTCACTTCCTGCTGTGTGGCCTGGTTCCTAACAGACCACAGACCGGTACTGGTCCATGGCCCAGGGGTTGGGGACCCCTGCTCTAAAGTCCAACTGCCTCCATTACCTTCTATAAGAATAAGTGCAGAGGACTGGGCACCCCTACTGTGCCTGTATTCTCATCTATGAAAAGGCAATACTGGTGATATCTACCCTTTAATGTGGTCATGGTGCTACATGGGTCAATGCATATGCCTGGTACGTGGGACACACAGTGCAATCCACTACTCTTGCAATAGGGCTGGGGGCACATTTGCCCTGCTCCACCATTAGCATTAACCCTCCTGTTCTCTCTCCACTATTGCCTCATCTAGTAGGTGATCTTGCACAGAGAAACTGGTAGGCATGGCCAGCCCTTCTTTTGGGGGCTCCTTTGAATGAGGAGCCTTACAGGTCCCTCACTGCCACAGACTGCATAGGGAAGCAGGACCCTGGACCCACTTGGCCAAGGACACAGGCCATATACTCAGAGCAGCTTTTCCAGTGATAAAGCAAGTATTTGGCACCCAACTACCTTATTGCATTTATTTCTCAATTAAGAAGTCAGGTCAGGAAAGGCAGTCTCACACCTGGACAATCTTGTCAAAGCGTACATGGTGGCTCCTAATGGCCCATCTACCATCTAAGATCACCAGGGTCACTCCTCTGCCCTCCTGTCCCTTTAACTGCTGGCCTTCACCTTGCCCCTTAAAGGTCAAGATACCCATTTCCCACTCAGTTTCTCCCCTCCCTCCTCCCTGTTAGCATCTTCTCCATCCCTCAGTTGACTTGGTCCTCAGCTGGTTATAAATGCAGGCTCACCTCTGGTAGGGCTCAGTTGAAAGCCTTCACTCCACCTCCGCAGAGCATCCTCGCCACCATCAGGCCCAGCTTCCGCCCCCACTGGAGAGGAGCGCCTCTGGCCCAGGGTATGAGCAGGCTGGCCCCGGCGCCGCGCATGAATCTGCTCGCTGATTTGCTCCAGGTTGCGCAGGGCGACTGAGTAACGGGTCTTGGCCTGGGCCACCTGCTGCTCCAGCTCCGTCACCTTGGCCTTGTGCTCCTGCAGAAGGAGGGTCAGAGTCAGGTGACTCTTTGGGCAGCTGTCTGAGGCCCCTGGAGCTGCCAAGTCCTCTCAAACCCACTGAGATGTCCCGTTCCCAATCTGGGCTCTGCTCATCCCCAACCACTCATCTGCAGTGCAGAACCAACCCTACCCAGCCCCTCTCCACTCCTCTTTTTCCTGGGATCCTCCTTCCCCAGCAACCTGCCCTGGTCCTGCCTGACATTCCAGGGCCTTCCTCCTAGGTCTTCATTCCCACCCACTGTTTCTCCTCTTCCCATTGTTCCCTTTCCCTGTCTGGCCAATTCTTCGCTCCCCATTCTCTCTGGTTTCCCCCAATTCTCACTTCTCCTTTACCTCCCTTCTGTCAGCATCCATTCTCCAACCCCAACTCCCGTTCCTGTGGAGTCATTCTGAACATACCTGTCCCACTACACGGGCCTGGTGGATGGCGCAGAGAAACAGACTAGTGTTCCCTCTACCTGCCCTCCCTTCCTAGCCTGCCCCCTCTCCCATCCTTCCCCCGACCTCCACCCCCATCCCCCACTCAGCTACCTCCAGGATCTGGCTGAACTGGGCCTTGAGCTCAAAGTAGGGCCGGCTCTTGCCAATGGCACGGCGGAGGGTCTTCTGCAGGGCCTGAACCCGAGCCTCGGCCTGCTGGCACAGCCGCGTCACCCGCTGGTGCTCCCGCTCACCACGAAGCCGCTCTTCCTCTGCCTCGTTCACCTGGGCCAAGTGGGGCGGAGCACACACATCACTGAACACACACCCTCACTCCTGCCCCGTCTTGTCACTCCAAATGTTAAACTGTCTACAGAGCCCAGAGACGGCACTGAGCTGCCAAGACACAAGAGAACCGTGGGTCCTCGCGCCTGCCTACTGTTAGCCGCACCACCCGCCACCTCTCAGCTTTGTTGCTGCCAGGAGGTGCTGAGGTCCTCTAGCCTGCTCACGAGCGTGCAGGAAATGTCCATCCATCTGTGACACATCTGCCACATCATGGTTCTCAGAGCTCAACCTTGGGGGTTGGGGGGAGGGAGGAGCCTCACTGGGAGAGCCACAGCTCTGCACTGGGTTCTCTAGGTTTCCATGTCCAAGCAGCTAACAGGCAAGGGCTCCAGCCACCGCATCCACCAAGACCAAGGAGTCGACCTCACGCACACCCAGACTCAGCAACCCCTCCCCCAGGGCTGTGTGAGTTCCAGAGGAGTGGAACTCCTGCCCTCATGTGACCCATGGGCCTGGACTAAGGAGGAGCACACAAAAAAGCTTGAGACATGACCACTCATCAGGAGCTGACACTCCTACAAAATAAATGATTGTGTCCCCTCAAACTTTTTTTTTTAAGGTGTTTTGTTTTTTAAATGTGGACCATTTTTAAAGTCTTTATTGAATATGTTACATTGTTTTATCTTTGGTTTTTTTGGCCACCAGCCATGTGGGATCTTAGCTCCCCCCACCAGGGATCAAACCCACACCTTCTGCACTGGTGAAATCTTAACCACCAGAGAAGTACATGCCCCACCCCATCCCCCTGCAAAAAAAAATTCTTGTGTTGAAATCCTAACCTTAATGTGGGCCTTCTAAGAAGTGATTAGCTCAAGAGCAGGGAGCTCTCACTAATGAAATTATCTGCCTTATAAATGAGGCTTCAAAGAGCTCCCCCAGTCCTTTAGCCATGTAATAATACAGTGAAAAGACAGCTGGCCGTATGGGAAGAAAGAAGCAGGCCCTCAGCAAACACCAAATCTGCCTGTGCCTTGATCTTGAAATGTCCTAGCCTCCAGAAAATAAACTTTTGATGTTTAAGCCTCCCAGTCTGTCATTTTGTAGTAAAGCCAATGGACTAAGACACTTGCTCTTTACAAGGTGAAGGTGGGAGACTAGAGCTGATGCCAGGGATCCTCCCACTCCCCAACCCCCACAAAAGCAATGCCAAAGTCTCTCAGTCACGTCCAACTTCAGGCCAGAATACTGGAGTGGGTGGCCTTTCCCTTCTCCAGAGGATCTTCCCAACCCAGGTATCGAACCTAGGTCTCCCACATCACAGGTAGATTCTTTACCACTTGAGCCACAAGGGAATCCCCATAGAAAAGACTGGAAATATACACTGGAAATATATATTTCAAAAACCAAGGTATACTGGCAGAGCTCAAAAGCAAGAAAGGAAGAACATTCAGAAAATAGAAACAAAGGGTCACAGCTAAATATAACAAAGGAGAGTTGAATCCAGAGCATTCAGGAATGAACTACTTAAGTCACTCCCACATCTGGAGGCAAAGATTCAAGAAGAGCCAAGAAGGACCTTCTAAGTCAAAAGGGAGTATATATGGGACACACTGGAGGCCAAATAGGGCAGAGAGCTAGGACCAGACTTTTCCTGAAACAGAATCAAAACTGAGGGAAGGCAGGAGCAGAAGAGAGACAGAAAGGAGTGAGGAAGGTGACAGGATTCAGGAAGAGCAAAGTACTAGAACTGGCGGAAGGGGCCAGCCACTGCCTGGCTCACCTTGCAGGTGGCGTGGTTGAGCATCTCCTGCCATGTGGGGTCCAGCCGGTTCTTGTCAGCCATGACGCCCTGCTCAGCCACAAACACCATCTCCCGGGCAGCGTTGTGCATGCTCACAGCCCGCTCATACCGCAGTGCTGCCTTCTGTGTCTCCTGCTGGGCCTGGGGGGGTGGGGAAGGACCACCAGGACAGTGAGCTGCAAAGGACCCCTGGCTGCCCACGGAGACCCTCCCTGGGCAAGGACGAGAGAAGGAAAAAGGCCCACTGTAATGTTGGCTTCACCTCACAACTGCACTAAGGATAAGTGCTGAGGAAGCAAAATTCTACAAAGAATATGTTGCAAGGGTATAGCTAAGAGAAGAAATACATGTAGAAATAGGACACTGCCAGTGGAGGGCAAAGTGTATAAAATCCAGCACTCTCCAAGGCTGCTGGACTTTTGCCCTAGGGAAAACAAAGAAAAATCCACACCTTTTAGTTGGAAGGTGTTTAGTTGATGGTTGAGACCATCAGCTCCAGTCCAGCAGGTAAGCTGAATGAAATAACCAGACAACTGCTTGGAGATATTCATCATAACCATAGTTACCAAACAAAATACTAGAAACAAACCTAAGTTTTCAGTTATAGAAAACTGGTTAAACAAATAATAGTATATCTTACATAAGAAAATCATATAAGTTCCTAAAAACAATGGCATGGATGGGTAATTCTTGACATGGAACCATGTCCTCAAATAATAAAGAGATAAAAACACTACATGTGTGATTCCATTTTGGCAGGATATATTAAAAAAAAAATTTTTTTAGAGATTATTTGTGAGAGAGAAGGAAAAAGGCCCACTGTAATGTTGGCTTCACCTCACAACTGCACTAAGGATAAGTGCTGAGGAAGCAAAATTCTACAAAGAATATGTTGCAAGGGTATAGCTAAGAGAAGAAATACATGTAGAAATAGGACACTGCCAGTGGAGGGCAAAGTGTATAAAATCCAGCACTCTCCAAGGCTGCTGGACTTTTGCCCTAGGGAAAACAAAGAAAAATCCACACCTTTTAGTTGGAAGGTGTTTAGTTGATGGTTGAGACCATCAGCTCCAGTCCAGCAGGTAAGCTGAATGAAATAACCAGACAACTGCTTGGAGATATTCATCATAACCATAGTTACCAAACAAAATACTAGAAACAAACCTAAGTTTTCAGTTATAGAAAACTGGTTAAACAAATAATAGTATATCTTACATAAGAAAATCATATAAGTTCCTAAAAACAATGGCATGGATGGGTAATTCTTGACATGGAACCATGTCCTCAAATAATAAAGAGATAAAAACACTACATGTGTGATTCCATTTTGGCAGGATATATTAAAAAAAAATTTTTTTTAGAGATTATTTGTGCTGTATTAACCACATTTTTATTTTCTATGTTTCATGATGTTTTGGTATCTTGGAGGCCTTGCTGGCCCTTCTAGGGCTGCCTAATTTCTAGAGACAGTGAACTACTCTATGAGCACACCTTAAGTCCACCAATCTGAAGCCCATCACCTCCTTTATCTAACTCTCTTAAGCCAGTATGTCCCCTGCTCTAAATCACTGAAAGGCTAGGTACCAGAAAACTAGAGACCTTCCCCATAGCCCAGAGCCTGCCTCTGTTATTCAAACTGGCCAATCCTAAATTTGCTCAAAGTTGTCTACCCTGTCTTACCCACTCCTTCCCACGAAAACAACAATAAAAGCTCTACAATAAAAGCTCTGAAATAAGCTTTCCCCTCACATTTTCTGCCTCCTCACCCATTCAGGTGCTTCCCCATGTAGTCCTGAATAATCTGACAGGCTCTATTCCCTTAGGAACTAAGTAACAAACTTTTTTAAGGCAGTTGTCTGTGTCTGTCACCTTCATACTTGACTAAAACAACTTTCAGGTACAAAAATCACAAAACATGCATGAGGTTGAATCTGGGGAAGATTCCAGTTCTCTTATGTTGTTTTATAGTTACAAGTTACACTTACAGCCTTCTAATAGTGACACCATATTATTTATATAAAGAAAAATTTTAAAAGAAGGAAAGGACATAAACGAGTGGAGAAGCAAGCAAAGAGAGCATGACTCAAAGGGGATACAAGAGGAAAAGATAACTAGAAAAGGTGATCTGTCTCACACCCCATACAGAGACAGAAGACTACAGGGCCAGGCTCTGCATGCAGCCCCCCACCCCAGAATGTGGGTGAGCTGGCCGTACCTCCTTAGCCAGCCGCCGAGCTTCATAGTAGGGCCGGGCCTTCTCAATGCAGCTCCCTAAGTGGGAGCCCTGCGTGTTGAGCTTCCTTGCTGACTCCTGCAGGATCCTCCGGTAGGTGGTTCTGGCCTCCTGGCAAAAGGATAGGGACACGGGCAGAGGAAGGCACAAGCGTGGGTCCTAACCCCTCTTGTTTTTCATACATGCCCCTTCCCCTGCCACTGTACTGAGAGGACAGAAAATGATGAAAGCACCTCTGGAACCAGCCCAAGAGTGTGAGGAAAAGGAGCATCACTCACATCCAGCTGCAGCTCCACTTGGTTGATTTCCTCACTGGCCTGGTTCAGATGCTCCAGCTCCTCCTGACACAGAGAGAGGCAGAAAGTTAGAGCAGCGGAGGAAAGCAGCCTCATATGAACCAGGCAGGGCAGGAACGTGGGCACAGAGGGAAAGCCCAGCCAAGTAGCGAAGGGAAGAAATGGAACAGGAGGTCACTGTCAAATGCCTTCTTGTCAGAGATCTAGTAACATACAGCCTCTTGTAATCTCACAATTCCACCTCTGTATCAAGTAGTAAACCCCCATTTTAAGGACAAGAGAATTGAGGTTGGAAAACTCCAATGCACACAACACAGTGGCAACAAATCTGTTGCCATCAGACTGCACCACCACCTCCTTCTCATACTCCAGCCAGGAGTCTCCTCAGAGCTAATGGTCTCTGTCCCAAGCAAGGAGAAACCCCTGGGCCCTACTCACCCGGCATATTTTTACTACACACTTAGACACTCAGCACCATGAAACCTAGAATTTAGTGCACAAAGATGCAGCAGCTCACAGCCCAATAGTAAGCAACAGGCCCACAGGAGACGGGGGCATGATAAGGGCTGGGAATCACAGGAGAGCAGGTGACCGGGGCAGGCAAGCTGTCAGGAGAGAAGCCAGAGAGGCTGGGGCACAGGGACACGATACTCGGACTTCTCCCAACAGCAGGGGCAACCCCTCAGAGCTTGATGCCCCCGGTGGTTTAGGAAGGCAGACTTGGGCAATGTAGGGAAAGCTTGGAGGGGCCAGAGAGACAAAAGTGGAGGCTGTCTGTAGTATTTCAGGTGGGAGAGGAGAGGGCAGATCCCTGGGAAATTCAGGATGCAAAATCATTAGGACTTCATGACAATTAAGGTCAAGATTAGGGAAGAGCAAGTGGTTCAAGAGACCTCTAACTGCTTGGGCAGTGGTGACAGGACCCCAGGCCCCCACAGAGTAGATCCTATGGCAAGGAGGGAGAGCCTCAGGAACAAGTTCACCAGTCACACTGGCCTGAACGCCTCACTGGCCCCAAGCGCTGGCAAAAGACACAAAAGCCACCCATGCCTTTCAGTGGCAGGGAGGGTGCTGGCCGTGAGTATCCTCCCCGCCCCTTGGTCAAGTTCCTGGGGCCCAGGGAGCCAACGACACTCCCGAGGAGGAGCAGTGCCTAGAGAGATGCCTCGTGCTCAGCTATAGCTTCCTCCTCCAGGAGCCCTGGACAGGCCAGCAGTAGCCAGCCTGATGTCTGCTTGCTGCCCATGGCCAAGCCCTACATTTCACCTGCACCAGGCAGTGAGGAACACTGCCATCACTGCTCCTGCATACTTCACTTGGCCCTTTCAAAAGCCCACTGTGTGATCCTTTAGTCCTTTTATTTCTGTACCTCACCTCAAGCTCTAAAAGATCTGAGTCAGCAAGTAAGAATGCAAGAAATCAAGTTATATGCTCTAATTACAGTATAAGATAGAACACAAAGGAGGAAACATACAACAAAATCAGGAACAATGATATGAAAATACACATACTCACAACAATGTAGACTCTGCCTCAAAGAGGACCACAAACTTGTCTCTGAACTTTTCAGAACAGAGATATCTGACAGAAATATAATGTGAGCCTTATGTGGAATTTTTAGTTTTATAAAAGCCACATTTGTAAAAGAAAGAAAACCACCAAGATGAAATTTTAACAGTACATTTCATTTGACTCAATATATCTAAAACAATAACAGTTTCAACCTGTTATCAACATAAAATAATAATTACCAATATTGTAACTTTTTTTTTTAAAACCATGGCTTTGAAATCCACATGTATCTGACCTTAGAGCACACCTTAGCGTGGATAGATAGTCGCATGTGGCTCCTGTACTGGTCTGTGTAGATCTAGAAGCTAGTGCACAAGATCCGCTGATAAGTCACACAACTCAGTGCTCATACGGTAACAAGTGGCCACTGTGGAAAACAGGCAGCCGGCATGGCTCAGAGAACCCCAAAGGAAGCCTAGGGCAGTGCCAACACCACCCTACACACACACAGTCTTGAGTTTCACAGGGCCTTCCTGACAAGAACGTCACTTTCAGCTAATGAGATCACCACAAAGAAATTGTCAGAAAAGACAATTCCTGTCTGGGTGAGAGGCAACTGGGCCCTCTTTGGGCTCTGCTTTCTGTGACTGGACTTGGCCCACAGAGGATTTCAGATAATCTAAGGGAGGAGGTGACCAGTCCTTTCAGCAGTTCCCACTGGAATACTCTCTATCTCAACCCATTCACATTTGATAGACAAAAAACAATAGGACAGGGAATCGGGGATGGAGTTGGGACCCAGGACCTGACCTATGATCTGGCTTTCAGCTAATGTTGATTACATTCCTAGGACTACTGATGTCCTTAGATGGATGCCTCAAAGACAGGAGTACCACCACCTAAGAAAACCACCTACAGTCCTGGTAAGATAATAATAATTTGGGGAAGAAGAGGAAGAGGTGGGTAAAAGGCACCTATAACGTTCCTCTGAGTGAACCAAGGTCTAAGACAGGATCCCATTTGGTTCCACAGCCCAAAGCACTCTCAGACCCTGACAAGATCATCAGAGGAGTGAATGGCAAGTCATCGTCACTGGAAAGAAAACAAAAGACTTTGGCTCTTGGTCTATAGGAGCAGGCATGTATGCCTTTCTACACTGAAACTTGTACCCATGAAGCACGTCCAGCAATTTAAAAAGGCTTCCTATTGACAAAGCCCTAACAGGACAAGGAGACTGGGGAGAGAGCAGGCTGGAGGGCAAAGGGTTAGGGGATGAGGGTAGCCAGGCTGAGGCAGACCCAGGGCAAAGTACAGCAGGGAGCCAACAAGTACCCAGAGCTCTGCTTTGGGCCACTGGCGACACATTCCATTTGGCCTGCTGCACCAGGGACTCCTGGCACCTGACTGAAATCGAATTCGAGGAGGATGAAGCCTGAGTCAGCATTCACCATCCATCAGTGAGCCTGCAGCCCGCAGGGAGGGTGACCTTCCCGGAGCACACCAGGCTGATGCCCAGGATGCCAGGCCACTGAGTCAAAGGCAGTTAGGAGACAGATGCTATTGCCCAACTAGTGCAAGCCATTAAAACACTCAAGCCCAAAATGAAGTATAATCGTATAAATTGCATTGTACACCTGAAATTTATATAATACCCTAAATCAAATATTGATATATCTTTATTAAAAAAAAAAAACCCAAGTCCACAGTCATTCAGGAGGATTGGGGTGTTCCATGACCTAAAGACTTAGAAATAAAGTAAAAATGACCTCCAGAGCAAGCTAAACTAAACATTTCAGGCAATCCAGAGATTGCAAAGTCACTCTGAGGAGGAAGAGGTGAATGAAAGCATTTACTTACCTGAGGAAAGAAATGTGTCCATCACAAAGAGGGCTGAGAAAGGTCATAGGAGAGAAGACCCAGGCCCATCCCAGTACTACCCTCCTCTATTCCTTCCTATCAGAGGGACCCTGCCTCTCAGAAAGCTAAGGCCCAGCCTGGATGCCTCAGAAAAACTGTCTTGAGGTCAAGGCACACAGAGACATCCAGTAGACTTCCCTGGGATGCAGCACACTTCAGGTAGGCCTACAGCTGGCAATCACCTGGCTTCCCTCCAACTTCCAGAAGGATTCTAGACAACTTCCAGACAAGAAGGCACAAGCTGCCTGTCTGCCAAGAATCCCCATTCCCCACGCCAGAAAGAGCCTGGCCCTAAAGGACCATTTCTGGGAGTTCCAGAAAATACCTGAAGAGGGTCTCCATCTTTGGGCTATCCTTGGATCAGTGGACTCGCCCAGGCCACCAGTCGTAACTTCTCACCCCAAACAAAGAGAAGAATGTCTGGCCAAAGCTCAGGAACAAGTGTTTCTAAACTTCCCTGGTAGGTACTGATGGATCTGTGGGTAGAGACCCACTGAATGCACCAATCTATTTAAAGTGCTAAAACACAGGATCAGGATAACATGATCTTGCACACTGTCAACACTACAGTGTTGCCAACACTACAAAGAACAACAACACTGTAGTGTTGCCAACACTACAAAAAAACTCAAAAGAAACATACCCAATGTCTTTCTCATCTAGAAGATCCCAAACCCAGATCTGAAGGCCACCAGCCTTCACCATGAAAGGCGCTCCTCACATCAAGCTGCCTCTCCCACACAGCAAGACGCTGCATCTCTGCTGAGGCCAGAGAACTACACCAGTCTCATCAGCGAGGGAGGCCTCTAAAATAAGACCGTGCCTCCCTACATAACCTGCAACATTCCACAACATGCCTCTTGGTTTAGCAAGAGAAACTAAGGTCCTCCTGTCCCTCTTGCTTCATTAACACTGCAAGCTCACTGAAGGCAAGGTGAATCTTACTCTCGCTCAATATTCTCGGACCCTCACAGAGTTCACCCAATACAACTGTCGATGATGTTGGAAATGTTCTACATCTGCCCTGCCAGCAACACCTGAGGAACTGCATTTTTTTTTTTATTGATTCTTAACTGAATTTAAATATCCACATGCAGCTAATGACTACTTTATTGAACAGCGCAGCATGAAAGTTGCCTTTTCACACCACCACTTTTGCCTGTGTAGGCAATGGAAAAATACACAGGAGCAGAAGCGACTGAGCAAAGAAATCAAAACTGATTCTCCTCTTGAGTGGAGCAAGGAATGATGCAGAGGGGAATATGAAGGATATCAACAGGCCCTCCTCCCTGACAAATAGAGATCTCTTTCTCAAAGCAAGACCTACAAACTTTCATCAAAGACAGGCAAGAGAGTTTGTAAAAGAAAAGAATCACAGGACAGGGTCAGAGCAGAGCGGCAAAGAGCTGTGCAAATAAGCTAGACCAAGCTTCCATGTTACAAATGAAGAAAAGAAGGCTTGAAAAGGTTATGTAACTTACATGAAAATCACAAATCATAGGGCTAGAAGAGGCTTGAATCTCAGCCCAAAGCTTTTTTTTTCACTACAACTTGTTTCCTAGGCGGACAACAAAACTATATAGAACTAGCAGGAGAAATTGAGTTGTTTTCAATGCAATGCCCATGAAACAGAGCAGAAATAAATTACTGACTCATGCCAGTAAACAAATGGTTCACCACTGCTACACTATCAGCACAGACAGTTTCCCCACACATGTCCCAGGAAACTCCACCAAGAGAAAGCAGGAAGGATGCTAGGAGTCGCTTTGAAACCTTCCTGACTCACTAAAGTAACCTAATAAAGGTCTGTTGACAGAGAAGCCCAGGAATGAGAGCGCTGGGAGGCTCTTGCTCACCTGCAGGTGTGAATCACTGCCACATCAGAATCTGTGGGATGCTACCATACCAAACAGCAGACTCAGGCCCCAAACATACAGGAGCACCCCGGCTCTCACCTGCCTAAACAGCTTCTCTCCAGGGAACTCTTCCCTGCCACTGTCCAGAAACACCACAATCCAGCCTCAGCTGGTCATGCATCTACTGCGTGTGCGGCCTGTCCACCTCCTCCACGGCCTCCTTCACAAAGTTCTGCCCCTCTACCAACTAGTAAATGCTCCAAGGCAACAGATCAGCTCCTCCACTCGTTTGATTGACCCAACATCCTCAAAGCAAGAAATCTGTATTATGAAGGATTGACCGCACCTGATATAACTCTCTGCACATATCAGATTTCGTTACAGGCCTAAGCCTGGTACCACCTTTGTAAGACATGAAAAGTCTCACCTTTCACAAATAAGAATGTCCCTGGGAGGCAATGATAAGAAAGCAGGAGAGGGGGAAAGATTCAAAATTGCCTCCAATCTCAAATACATCTTCTCTCACATCCCATTCCAAATATGCCAGGGGGTTGTTGAGCCCCTTGGCATATTTGGAAAAGAAATAACAGTTCTACTCTCTTCTGACCTAAAGTGTGCTTCCTACACCTACTGCCAATTTTGTCACTTCAATTTATCAGTAAAGTCAGCAGCAACACATCCCAGGCACTCAGGCCCAGCCTCTCTCTGTACTCCCACCTACACAACTCTTTTAGCACTTGTGACACTACACTGCAATGATTTGTTGACAATCGTTGTTTTCCTTTCCTGCCCCAGTGCACTGGGAAAAGAGTAAGTCTAACTCATTTATCTGACAGTTCTTCAGAAAAGCTAGAATCTAATTTCCCTGCCCTCCCCCAGCTCAGTCTTCTCACCTGTATTCTAGGATCCAGTTCTTCTTCTTCTCTTGGGGACAATTTGGCTTCACTGCTGTTGCTTCCGCCTCCTCCAGGCTCCTCTGCAACTGGGCTCCGAGGGACTTCATCCTCTACAACCTCAGGCCGAAGCTCCCCTTGTGGGGTCTCCCGCCCCCCTGGAATCTGCCTGAGTTCAGCCATGCTGGCAGGGAGAAGGCACAGCCCTAAGCATAAAAGAGGACTGACATGCTGGGACCAGGGCCCCAGCTTGGGGCTTCCTGGGCTCTGGGTGGCAAGAAGGGTTTCTCTTCTCCAAGGGTGGAAACAGGACACAAGAAGAACCTCAGACTCGGTTAGAGGCCGAGATTCAAGTGGCCAGTGGGGTCCCAAGAGCTATAGCTTTGTATATGCAAAAGTCCTTCCCTCCCAGTCACAGGGAGTCCACCAGGAGAAATCCGGAGCAATAGCTCCGAGGCGGGGGGCAAAGGGGGCCTGGATCCTGGGCCGAGGCCTGCGAGGAGGAGCACCATTCGGGAGGGCGGAGGCAGGCGCCTCCAGGCTGTGGTGGCAACTGGAGAGAGAAGGCTGGGCCTGAGCAGAGGCTGCTGGCTAAGAGTCTCTGAGGAGCTGCAGGGGAAACAATGGCCAAGTACATGGTCAGCATTCGAACGTCGGCTACCAGCCTCTTTCCATCATCCCTCAGCCTCCCAAGGACTTTACTACCTTCCTCCCACACCTCCACATTCCGACCAACCCCCTCAACTCCTTTCCCGCGTCCCAAGATCTCTGGCCCCAGCCCCTCCCCCACCAGCGCCTTCCAGACTTCCCTCCGCATCCTAATCCTCTCCATCATTTCCCCCAACCCTTCCCCAGCTCGCGTCATTCCACCCCAGTCCGGCTTTGCAAATCACCTTTTAACCCCCAGCCCCACCCCACCTCCTCTTCTCTCTCCAATTCTGCGGACAACCCGAGCCTCGCATCTCCAACCCCCGTTCTTCCTAAATCACAAGGACCCTGGCTGGCCGCAAGCCTCCTACACAGCCAGGCGCAAAGCCCGCCCTCTGTTCGACTTTACCTCAGTTTACCTTCCCGTGCGCGGATCTCCGCTGCAAACAATCTTCCCCCGCCCTCCCCGCAACAAGCTGGTCCAACCAAATACAACGAGGCCGAAAGGAAGCGGAAATACATCATCCTGTAAAAAAAAAAAACGCCTTTCTCCCTCTCGCCCCTCCCTCTCACGCTCTCCTGCTAACCAGGTCACGTCTGGATTCCTCAACGCTCATCTTCTCCTGGCCTTCGGTTTCCGTACAAAATGGTGTCTCACAGCGCTGACTCTCACCTTACATTGCCTCCAGCCCGTCCTCTACCACTGATAAATGAAACTGAAATACGGGAGGGTTGTGCCGAGAAAAACTACGGAGGATAATGAAAGTCGAGAGACCCTGGTGAATAGGGAAAGGTTGGAAATTAAACGGAGATTAGACAATTGCCTCAAAGAGAGTGCTGCCATCTTGCTTTACGGCGCCGTGTTCCGGCTGCACCCAAAACCGTTTCCGGCCTCGCCCCGGAAGTCCGAAGTGGGCTGTGGGCATCCGGCAGCGGCGGCGCTTGTCTGCTGAAGTCCGGCTTCAGCGGACTGTGCTCCGGGCGAGCGGGGTTGTTTTTTCAGAAATAACTCCCCTTATTCAAGTGATAGGGCTTCCCTGGTGGCTCAGATGGTAAAGAATCTCCCTGCAATACGGGAGACCTGGGTTCAATCCCTGGGTTGGGAAGATCCCCCTGGAGAAGGGGATGGCAACCAACTCCAGTATTCTGGCCTGAAGAATTCCATGAGCTGTATATAGTCTATGGAGTCGCAAAGAGTCAGACGCGACTGAGTGACTTTCACTTTCACTTTAAGGGACTTCCCTGGTGGTCCAATGGCTAAGACACTGACCTCCCAATACAGAGGGCCCAGGTTCAATTCCTGATCAGGGAGCTAGATCCACACGCTGCAACTAAGAGTTTGGGATTCCCTGGTGTCTCAGACAATTAAGCGTCTGCCCACAATGCGGGAGATCCCGGTTTTATCCCTGGCTTGGGCAGATCCCCTGGAGAAGGAAATGGCAACCCACTCCAGTACTCTAGCCTAGAAAATTCCATGGATGGAGGAGCCTGGTGGGCTACAGTCCATGGGGTCGCAAAGAGTCAGACACGACTGAGTGACTTCACTCTCACTTTCTTATTCAAGTGAAGTCAGTGGTTCCCTTAGTTAGTAACAAAGTCTAAATGGCAGCTCTGATACATAAATCTCTCTTGCTGCGTCCTCCCCATGGCTCTGGCGCTGCACTTCGCCATCACCTCCCCGAACCAGGCTCTGTCCCACTGAACGTCGTTGCAGTGGTATCGCCGATTAATCCATGAGCACTGATTAGAAGTTTTATTATCTGAATCCAGTGCTCTCGTGCACTCTGTTCAAAAGCCCACCAGGAAGAGGAGTTTGTTACATGGTTTTGTGTATCAGTGAAAGGACCTGACCTAAGTCACCACTTCTCAGTGTCACCAGGAGAGACCTGAAAGGAAGGCTTCAGGTTGGAAGGTTTACTTTTGCTAAAGACTTAACTTCCTCTGAAGTGAAGAAGTCAAATGGGCTGAATTTTCCGTCTTCCCTTGTGCATCCCTCCTTCCATCCCCTCACCCCATGAATAACCATGTTTAAAAAAAAAAAAAAAAAACATTTTTTAAGTAGACCCAAATATATTTTTAAGTAATTTAAAAGTGATTTTCTTCCCCCCAAATTGGAAATATATTTTTTAAATTCCAGAGTTGACTTTTCTCCAGTGAATCAGTGAGACCCTAAGTAGCAATTCTAAGTAGATAAATCTGATAGATAATAATGTCTCATATCATACTCCTGTTCGTTATTAAGGTGCCATACAAAAACCATGAAAATTACAAACAGAAATCAGAAATTGTCTGCTAGTTTCTTTAATTTTGTAAAACTGGAGTTTCACTGTAATCATTCCATTTTACCTACCATCTTCTGTGTGTGCTATCTGAATTTTCTGAACCTTTCCTATTCAGCACTGCTATAGTATCTATAATCTTTATATCTTGTCCCACAACTTCTTTTCCCTGTGTGTTCATTCCTTAGCAGCCATGAGTTTCAAGTCGTCATATATCTCTTGCGTTTGGTGGGAAAACACCTTGAACACACATAGTACCCAGACTGCCCCTAGATCACATCCTGAAGTTCAGTTGCCTCCCTGATGTCTCCACTGGCCTACCCTTGGGTTAACTCTCACTCACCGGCAGCAAAAGTGATATCATCATGTATATGTGCATGGTAAGTCACCTCTGACTCTCTGCTACCCTATGGACCATAGCCCACCAGGCTTCTAGGTCAGTGGAATTCTCCAGGCAAGAATACTGGAGTGGGTTGTCATGCCCTCCTCCAGAGGATCTTCCCAACCCAGTATCGGACCGGTGTCTTGTCTCCTACTTTGGCAGGCAGGTTCTTTACCACTAGTGCCACCTGGGGAGCCCCTCATCATGTATGGATTGTAATGTAATCCGCAGAAGTTTTTCTGCTAGGTTTGGATAATGTTTCAGGTGGAAAGAGGTTAGGGAGAGCTGTGCACTGGCTTGTTTTATTGAGGCCGGTATAAACATTATGAGTTTTGTTTCGTTTTTTTTTTCAGAGCAGCACTATCCAATAGACCTACCTGCAGTGATGGAAATGTTTTATATTAGCTCTGTGCCATATGTAAGCTGAGCATTTGAAATGGACCTAGTATTATTAAGTAAGTGCATTTTTAAGTTTAATTTAAATAGCCATGTGTAGCTATTGATTCCATTATTGGACAGCACGGTTCTAGAGCATGCCTTTCCTATGTAATCTTTTGCAGGCAGGTAGTGAACCTCTGTCTATAACAAAACAAATGTCTCTCACTCTCCACTCTCCTTTCTCTCATCTCTATTTCCTCACCTCTTGTTTATTTCTGTAGTCTGACTTCTGCTCCTGCCACAGAAATGGCAGGGATAAGCTCCAAGTATCACCAAGTGACTGACATCTGACAATGGGTTGTTACTTCTCTCTCATCCTTCTTTAGCTTCTGAGTCACCCTTGTCCTGAGTTTCCTCTTTTTCCCTGACCTATTGGTTAATTCCTTTGGATAGTATGTTTACTGAGTGTCTGCTACATGCCAGGAGTTTGTATGGAGCTTGTAGTCTGTGCTGTCATTTTATAAATTGGTGATATTCAAACTAATCAACTCAGAAATATGTTTTACCTTGCAACTTGGTGTACATATATGTATGTAAATATATTCATAACAAAACTTTCAAAAGAATTTCAGTTTTCAAAAGAAGATCTTTGTTTGCAGCTGCAATAGGTCTTTGTTGCTGCATGTAGGCTTCCTCTAGTTTTGGCAAGAGGGGGCTACTCTTCCTTCAAGTATGCAGGCTTCTCATTTCAGTGGCTACATGAGTTTCAAGTCGTCATATATCTCTTGCGTTTGGTGGGAAAACACCTTGAACACACATAGTACCCAGACTGCCCCTAGATCACATCCTGAAGTTCAGTTGCCTCCCTGATGTCTCCACTGGCCTACCCTTGGGTTAACTCTCACTCACCGGCAGCAAAAGTGATATCATCATGTATATGTGCGTGGTAAGTCACCTCTGACTCTCTGCTACCCTATGGACCATAGCCCACCAGGCTCCTAGGTCAGTGGAATTCTCCAGGCAAGAATACTGGAGTGGGTTGTCATGCCCTCCTCCAGAGGATCTTCCCAACCCAGTATCGGACCGGTGTCTTGTCTCCTACTTTGGCAGGCAGGTTCTTTACCACTAGTGCCACCTGGGGAGCCCCTCATCATGTATGGATTGTAATGTAATCCGCAGAAGTTTTTCTGCTAGGTTTGGATAATGTTTCAGGTGGGAAGAGGTTAGGGAGAGCTGTGCACTGGCTTGTTTTATTGAGGCCGGTATAAACATTATGAGTTTTGTTTCGTTTTTTTTTTCAGAGCAGCACTATCCAATAGACCTACCTGCAGTGATGGAAATGTTTTATATTAGCTCTGTGCCATATGTAAGCTGAGCATTTGAAATGGACCTAGTATTATTAAGTAAGTGCATTTTTAAGTTTAATTTAAATAGCCATGTGTAGCTATTGATTCCATTATTGGACAGCACGGTTCTAGAGCATGCCTTTCCTATGTAATCTTTTGCAGGCGGGTAGTGAACCTCTGTCTATAACAAAACAAATGTCTCTCACTCTCCACTCTCCTTTCTCTCATCTCTATTTCCTCACCTCTTGTTTATTTCTGTAGTCTGACTTCTGCTCCTGCCACAGAAATGGCAGGGATAAGCTCCGAGTATCACCAAGTGACTGACATCTGACAATGGGTTGTTACTTCTCTCTCATCCTTCTTTAGCTTCTGAGTCACCCTTGTCCTGAGTTTCCTCTTTTTCCCTGACCTATTGGTTAATTCCTTTGGATAGTATGTTTACTGAGTGTCTGCTACATGCCAGGAGTTTGTATGGAGCTTGTAGTCTGTGCTGTCATTTTATAAATTGGTGATATTCAAACTAATCAACTCAGAAATATGTTTTACCTTGCAACTTGGTGTACATATATGTATGTAAATATATTCATAACAAAACTTTCAAAAGAATTTCAGTTTTCAAAAGAAGATCTTTGTTTGCAGCTGCAATAGGTCTTTGTTGCTGCATGTAGGCTTCCTCTAGTTTTGGCAAGAGGGGGCTACTCTTCCTTCAAGTATGCAGGCTTCTCATTTCAGTGGCTCCTCTTGTTGCGGCACATGGGCTTTAGGTGCATGGGCTTCAGTAGTTGCATCATGCAGTTTCAGTAGTTGTGGCACAGGGGCCCAGTTGCCCCATGGCAATGAGTGAGAGGAATCTTCCTAGACCAGGATTCAAATCCACGTGCTCTGCATTTGCAGGCAGACTTCCAACCACTGCACCACCAAGGAAGGCCCAGGAAAAGGTCTTTACTTAATATGCAAAGCACATTAATATTTGTTTTACTGTTTTTTTTTAATGCTGGTAGAGACCTATTCTGTTAATTTCATGAGCCACTCACAGTTTGAAAATCCTGCCCTAAATATCAGTTCTTCCCAGGCCCTGATACTAGCCTCTGACCTTCTTATGTAGCCTAACTTCGCTGAAAGCCCTCACCCAAGTACATGGCTCCGATTCCTACCCCATGGCTACTGCTCCTTCCTTGCAACTCTGTCTCTACCTAGAATCCCCACAGATCAGATTCTGAGATCCAGCAGCTTCTCAGACCAATGGCCAGTCCATGGCTGCCTCTCACTCATTGCACACAAGTCTGATGCCATCCCCTTTTCCCAAATCCTGCTGCTTCTCCTATATTTAGTTTGTTGGTGCATGATTTTAATCATCAACCTATTAATTCCAAACCTAGAAGACATCCTAAATGAATCCTGCTGTCTTCACTCAGCATCACATTAAGTATCTCAGTATCTGGAGGTGAGACACCTCCTCTCCATTTCATTGCCATTA